GATGATCCCCTTGCAATACAATGTCAAAAATATAATTCCATGTATAAAGAGAAAATAAATAAGCACCATATTAAAACTAATTGGCTTTTATACTGCCATTGCACTGATGCCTAAGCAAAATTATTAAAATATTATCTGAATAATATTTACCTTGTTTAAATTGACAGCATATATTCTTCTTAGCCACTAAGTAATGTTAGATGTATAAATGTTTATTTCTTACTGTTAATAATGAATTATTATTATGATTATTATTATTATTATCATCCTCTCAAATTTTCCATGGAAAAAACTGTTATGAATTTCTGAAAATCTTCTATATATTATCATATATTAAAATAGCATATTGAAAAATATGTATAGATATTAGGGGTGTAATGATTCACTCGTTTTATCGATGCATCGATTACAGATCATTACATGATCTTGAAACATGATTTTTAATCGTGAATCGCCGATTTCAGACAGTAATCGATTTAAAACGCGAAGAATCGAATGAATCACGATTTCTATAGGGATTCAATGCTTTCAAAATATATACACATTAAATTTCTACAAGCACAAATCAATGGAGACCTTGAACAGTGTTTGTGCCCTTGTATCGCTCCTTAATCGCTCCACTATTTCCCACCTGCAGTGACTGTCACAGGATTGCGCTTGCGCTCCATTCATCTCACTGACGCAGCTGATGTGTGATCTCTCCTTAGTACTCGTGGCCAGTAACGCTAAAGTGAAGTAGTTTTGTAGTTCCCCTTCAGGAACTCGAGCTGCGTCGAGTCGCTTCACACCAAGGTGCCCTCATGGGATGATGCATGAAACTAGCGTTCGTTGCTATAGCAAACAGACATCAGGCCGGTTTTCTTTCAGAATCATCATTCGCCGATTGAGAGGAAAAGTTAAATACTATAGCATTTTTTTATGAAAATGAGAAAGTTTTCGCACTGAAAGAGAAGTGATCTCGTGCTCATAGAACATAAGACATGCCAGGCTATATCTGCAGCTAATCTGAATAAAAAGCAGAATGAACTGATGAAACGTTAAGACAATAAACACAATAAATAAATAAAATTTATGAATGATGCAGTGCTAATTGACATATCATTTATTAAAGTACAGAACTTATAAAGTATATTTTCTACCTTATTCTGTGCAGAAAATTGAAATAATTATTTGTAGTATGAATGTCTGAATATCATAATGCAATGTTTTTGTTTTGTTTTTGCTTTTTTTTAGACAGGCATGGAAAGCAGGTGAAAACTGAAATAAGCAAGTGAAAGCAGAATGGAGAAATGGACAGGACAAACAATACAGAGTGAAATGGAGAAGACAGAAGTGTCCAATCCAGACGATGAAGGGCAGCTGACAGGTAATAAGGTTTTTCTCCAGACTGACCGAAGACATTAAACCCGAGCTTTTAGTATATGTCCGTTAGCTATCCATCAGATTATCAGCCATGCACGCACATGCTCGCACGTAGCACGAGAAGTTTAAAGAGGAAAAGGCCCCTAGATATCCGAAAGTCCATTAAAGTTGCTCTGACAGGTGGAGAGAGTTTGGTGTGGTTCAGTCCCTGGGGAACGGCTCTAATGCGTACTGTGGTGCAGCGGACTCATGTTATCACACAGAACGTCTCTATCTGTCTTTCTGTTTTTCTCTCATTCTCTCTCTTTCCTTCTCTTCACCTCTCCAGGGAAATGGACAGTTGATTCAGGGCCTGAAATGAACTGGTCACAGTGACAAGTTTATCATCTTGGAGTTTCTTAGAGGACACAGCAGTCTTTCTGGATACTGGGGAAATATTTGTTGCATTATTTGTTATCTGAGGTGTATATTTTATAGGGATGAGATATATATATATACGATCGAGCAAACAGGTCCGTGGATGATGCAGTCAACATAGGACTGCATTATATCCTACAACATCTAGACAAACCAGAGACTTATGTGAGGATCCTGTTTGTGGACTTCAGTTCGGCTTTCAATACAACCATCCCATCACTCCTCCAGACCAAACTAACCCAGCTATCTGTTCCTAGCTCTATCTGGGAAATTCATGTGAAACAGCTGCACCATTAGCACTGGTGCCCCCAGGGATGTGTTCCCTCCCCACTCCTCTTCTCCCTCTACACCAACGACTGCACCTCTACTGACCCCTCTGTCAAGCTCCTGAAGTTTGCAGATGACACTACAGTCATCCGCCTCATCCAGGACAATGATGAGTCTGCATACAGAAGCGAGGTTGAGCAGCTGGCTGTCTGGTGCAGTTTTAACAATCTGGATCTGAATACGTTCAAAACAGTGGAGATGATCGTGGACTTTAGGAGAAACTCCCCTGCACTCCCCCCACTCACCATCTTAAACAGCACTGTGGCTGCAGTGGAGTCATTCAGGTTCCTGGGCAGCACCATCTCTCAGGACCTAAAGTGGGACATTCACACTGACTCCATTGTTAAGAAGGCCCAACAGAGATTGTACTTCCTTCGCCAACTGAGGAAGTTCAACCTGCCACAGGCGCTGCTCACATAGCTCTACTCAGCCATCATTGAGTCCGTCCTGTGGACTTCAATAACTGTCTGGTTTGGCTCAGCTATGAAATCAGAAGACTACAGAGGATGGTTCAAACTGCTGAAAGGATCACTGGTGCTCCCCTGCCCACCCTTCAAGAACTGTATATATCCAGAGTGAGGAAAAGGGCTCAGAAAATCACTCTGGATCCCTCACATCCAAGCCATCTCCTTTTTAAACTTTTACCATCTGGCCAGCGCTACAGAGCACCGAACACCAGGACAGCCAGGCACAAGAAAAGTTTCTTCCCCCAGGCAATCTACCTCTTATTCCATTCCTTATAAATTCTATTCTATTTCATTTATATACCACAAATGTACATACAAATGTAGTCTATTTCTGTTTATATACATATACATACATATATATATATATATATATATATATATATATATATATATATATATATATATATATAT